GTGAGCTTTACTCTTTTTTTTTTTTTCTACTTTTCCCCTTCATGTTTTTTTTGATTGTCATTTGGCAGATGTTCAGCTTTTTTTTTTTTTTTTTTAAAGAAATGCTGGCTGACTCTGATGAGGGGGAACTGGGGATTTAGCAGTGAACAGTATCTATAAGGCCCTAACTCTATCATAGATGTTGTTTGATTGTTATTATTGAGATCTAACTTACTGAAATAAAGTATACACGTCTTAAGTGTCTAGCTTGGGGAATTTTGACAGATATATGACGCGTCTGTAACAACCCAGATCAAGTCTGATTATGTTCTAGTTGAAGGAGATAAATAGTAAACAGCCAGTAACGGTGCAGTACATAAAGCAGTGGGATGATTGAGTGTAGTTATTCAGAAAAGACCTCTCTGAGGAGGAAGATTAATCTGAACTCTGAATGACAGGAAGGAGCCAGCCATGCAGGTATCAGGAAGAGAAGCATTCCAGGTCGATGGACCAGCTAACACGAAATTCCAAGAATAGAGATGAGCTTAATGGGCCCAACGAGTCAAAAGGCGGCAGTGCGGTTGAGCCTGGGAGGTGGCAGAGGGAAAAGGAGGAGGTGGTAGGTCCTGAAGGCTGCGTAGGCAGAGATCAGGAGTCCAGACTACGTTTTGTAGACACTGAAGGACATGAGAGAGCTTTAAGCTTTGGTTTGATAGAGAGAGAGCGCTGGCTTGGGCGAGAGAGAAAGCTGTCTTCCAAACACGAGGTAATGGCAGCTTGGCTAGGGTGTGGGGGTTGAGTGGGGAGAGGTGCTCCCTTGACGTTCATTTTGTTGGTCGCATGAATAGGACTTGCTGATGCAGGGGTGGAAGAAGTGGGAGAAAAAAATCAGGTGGACATCCAGACTTCTGGTTGAGCCATTTTCCTACAGAAAAGCAACAGGCAACTAAGTAAAATGACTGGAGACAGTTAAGAAATTAAACCTCTGGTACCAAGTGTACCAAGCAGATGCTGTGCTGGGCACTGAGGGTGCCGAGAGAGAGAAGCCTCTGCTCACCAGTCTTTTAGAACACAGTAAGCAGTAGGCACCTGAAGGTTACCGGCCTAAGTGCAGCTTGGGATCCTGGGATAGAGAAGGATATTGGTGGAAAGACTGGCACAGTCCAAGTCACGTCTGCAATGCCGTTGGTAGTAGTAACATGCTGGTGCTGGTTTTTAGTTTTGACAGATGGACCATGGTAACATGGGGTGTTAACACAAAGGAAACTGGGCGTTCTGTGTTCATATGCCACTTTTTGTACATCTAGAACTATTCCAAAATAAAAAGTTTATTTGAAAACACAGTTGCTGGTACTGCGAGGGAAGTGTTACCAGCATCATATGGGTCACTTCTTTTGGTACATCAGGGCCCAGAATGGTTCCATAGCAACATCATGGAGCAGGTGTTGCCTGGGCAATCTTGATAGAAGGTAGAGAGGACTGTTATTTACCTGATTTTCTTTCTTTCTTTTTTTGTTTTTTGAGACAGAGCCTCAAGCTGTCACCCTGGGTAGAGTGCTGTGGCATCACAGCTCACAGCAACCTTCAACTCCTGGGCTCAGGTGATTCTCCTGCCTCCGCATCCCAAGTAGCTGGCACTAGAGGCGCCTGCCACAACGCCTGGCTATTTTTTGGCGGGCCTGGGCTGGATTCGAACCCACCAGCTCAGGTGTATGTGGCTGGTGCCTTAGCTGCTTGAGCCATAGGCACTGAGCCATTTACCTGGTTTTCAAATTAGGAAACTGGTGCTCAGAGTAAATACCCAGCTACTAAATGTTAAGGCCACTATTTCCATTACTGTCCTTAAATTAGTCGTTAAAGTTTTGCCTCAGAGGTCATTCTGGGTCTCTCTCACCTCTTCTCCTGTCAGGAGAGGGACCACTTCAACTCTTTGTGGAAGTACTCTTAAACTTTCTCTTTGTTCTTCTTAAATAAAATTTCTCTTTGTTATACTGAAACTTGGGCAGGTTATTTTTACTTTCTATTCCTGCTGTCTGTGTAAAAAGAGAAAAAATAATGACAGGTAATACTGTTTTGAAAACTAAAAATAAGGCTCGACGCCTATAGCTCAACCGGCTAAGGCGCCAGCCA